GCAGTGATGGCCATATGGTGTGTCAGCACCACACATTCCCTCTGCAGGTGTCCAGGAACAGCCAGCCAGCAAGGGACTAAAGGAAAATGACATTTGCAGAGTAATTCTCCAGTGTTGGTCCTGAGTGAAAAGCACTAATCACTTGGAGAAGTGAAGGTTATACCTGACTCTGGGAATTTGTCCTCCCCCTTTTGCTTTTTGAGCCTCAGCAGTTCTTACCACAGAGCAGCACAGATTATCCCAGAGATGCATCACCCCATCAGTCTTACTTAAGACTAAGGTGGGTGTCTATAAGCTATTCCCAAAATACATTTTTACAGATTTTTCTCCTTCTCTGTCTTTTTAAATGGCAATGCTCTGACAAAACCTTCCCCATGAGCCAAGATTTTCAGAAGTGGCTGATGGTTTGGATGGCACTGGCTGAGTATTTGTGAGCTGTGGAGGGTATTACTGTTCAGATCACACTTGGGAGAGACCTTGGCCATAACCTCAGTATTCTGATGGTTTAAAGGTCACACAGCCAGGCCAAGCACAAGAGATTACCCTCCCAGATAACGAATGAACCTGGGGAAGGATTCAAGAGAGGAGATGTGTCTTGGGACAAGTTTCGTGAGCACCTAGACGTGAATCCTACACTCTGACCCTCATTTTCTTCTGACATAAAAATGTTCCCATGCTTTCCAAATGAGGCAAAGCAGTTCCCCTGGACCCCACTGTGCAGCTCCCCAGATGCATGGCAGGGATTGATCAGATGGACACTTACAACACAGATTTTCAGTCACACTGCCTGCTTATAGCATTTTCCATGCACTTCCCAGTATTTCTGGCGAGCTTTTCAGCTCACTTGATATATTATTAAGAGTAGCTATGAAACTAATTAACTGAGGAGAATGCTATTTAACTGTCAATAAACCTTTGGATCTCTGCCCTCTTTCCTCCAAATTTAGACATTAATTCTGCAAAGCCTTCTCTGTTCCCTACCCCACAGCTTCTCTCTCCCCCCTGTTTCACAGCTCCTTGGTGGCACCTTTTTGCTTCATGTGGCCCAAGCTGTTTGTCCTCTGCAGAGCTCCAAAGCCTGGTGGCTGCCTGTTCTCCATCACAGTTTGTCAGGATATGATGTCTCACTGCTGCTGTGCCTTCTCCAGCCTCCCATCACCAAAATCCTCCATGGGGCTTTCTCCCAAGCTGGAGTCTGTCCCTGATGCATCCTCAGGCTTGTTCCTAACAGGGTTCTGCTGGTGTTTACAGCGGTGGCACAATGTGAAGGTTGACAGATGTAAGTGGAAAGAGTAGAGGGGTGAATTTACCATCCAAACAGCACTGAGCTCCCTACAGCTGCTTTTGCTGGGCTGTTTAAGCCCCTTTAAAATACAATGGCCTTGATTCTCCTGGCTCAGAGGGCAACAGTTCTCATTCCTCCTTAGGACATGTCTGATAGCAAAGCTCATCACTGCTGATGCTGCTTCCCCCTCCCCTTGGAAAAGCACTCTTGGACCCACTGCTGTGGTGGTGCCACAGCTGAAGGAGTCCTAAGGATTCTGTGGTTGCCTGGAATGGTGCAGAAATCGCTCCTGACACACAAATAATGCCCCATTTCTCTGCACAATGGCCCCATGCATACAGTGGCCTCCCAGAGAACAACAGCAGACTGTAGCTCCAGAGCAGATGTGCATGTTGTCCATGTCAGGGGTTTTGAGATGGAGATCTGCAAAGGGAGGGGGAAAGGCAGAGCTTTTGTGAGAAAGTGTGAGGAGCTTGGTTAAAAAAAAAACCAACACAATGTAGAGAAAAAAATAGCTCTGGTATCTTCATGTGGCAGGCTTTGAGAACGTTGCTGATTCAGGGCTGTCTGAAATCTGTTAGAAAATAACCCTTTCTATATTTGAAAGGCAGAGCAGAGCCTGACTTTCAAGGTACAAAATTGCTCCTGGATTTGCAAAGAAGACAGTAAGGAACAATTTCTATTGCCTCTGGGAGAAAGTATCAAGGGCTTTGCTCCCCTTGCACAGCTCCTCAAAGCCTGGAAAATGAGATAGTGACCTGAACTCTTTTGGTTTAGTTCTGCATGAACTATATTAAATCATGGCACTGTGGATCTGGACTGTCCTGAATGACAGAAACCAAAGTAGGTACCTGGGAATAGAATTTTTTCACACTTGAACCAGGGTGAATGCTGATGTTTCCCTGCTGGGTCTTGAGGTTGGTACATCTGACTTTAGGATTGATAGCCTGGCTTTCTTGGACACGCTGCAAGAGACAATATGGAAGAAGCAGCAGCCAAAATAGCAACAACAGAAGTTGCAGCAGGCAGATTAGTGGCTGCAGCAGGCTCTGATCAAGCTGTTCTCCTTCTGTCACCATTTTGAGTGTTTATTGTTCAGCACTCCAAACTGCTGCTGGGTACAGGGCTCTACCAGTGAGAAGGGATAAAGGAGAGCACAAAGCCCCTGTAGGAATGCACGAGCTGCTCCCTGCCAGGGCTGGATGCCTCCCCTCCCCTTCCTTCACAGCCCACCTGACTCCTGTCCAAGTCACACATCCCGAGGAAACAGTTGATTTTTCTCCTCAATAATTTGGTTACAAGCCCAAGGCCTGGAGACAAGAAAGGTTCTGCCACTGAACCCCCTCTGCCCCTGCCCCCTGCCTGTCTCAGTCTGTTGGCCAATGTCAACAAACTTTGTCAGGGAGCTCTGAAATTCCTGCAAGTTTCATAAAAACAGGAGACTGCATTGAGGCCGGTGAGCTGAATCAATGCCCCCACAAAGCTCCTGGCTGCTCCTGTCCTGAGTTTCATCCAAAAGGCAGAGGCATAGCATAGGATCAGAGCATCACCATGGAATGCTGAGGGGGAAAAGTACAGAGAACATCAGGGTGATCAGGAGAGACCCCTGGGAAGGAGGTTCTGTGTAGAAAGTGCTGTAGGAGGAGATCTGATGGCTTTCTGTGGGAGGCTCCAGAGGCAAATCTGCAGGAATCCAGGTTTAATTGTTTTTGCTGCTGACAGAACAACTTAATTATGCACTGAGGGTCTTATTTGGTGGGGCCTCCCCGTGCAGGTCCAGATAAGGAGGAGCACAGCTGAATGCCCTTTAGCTCCCCGGTTATCTTCAGACAGATTTCACTCTGATGTGCTGATAGGGGATCTGGGGAGGAGCTGCAGTTCCTGTTTGGGGATGATCCTGGCCCAGAGCAGCCTAAAGCAAGGCAGAGATGCAGAGTCCCAGGGCACTCAGCTGTGCTGGAGTGCTGTGAGCCCCTTGTGCTCCCTCCCCACTGACAGAGGAACTGATCCCCCCCTCCTCCTCCCTGCTGGAGCTCCTGAGGCCTGGAGTGCTGCCTTCCAATTTTCAATAAAAATCTGCATTTGTGAGAGCTGATAAGTCTTTTCAGGGTCTGCAGCTGGACTGTGAATAGGCTGTGCAGGCCTAATTTGAGCTCAGATGAGAGCTGTGTTGGGCTTTTCCCCTGAGCTGGCTCTGGTGCCTCAGGGACACCCCAGCAGGCTCTGCAGGAGCTCAGCTCAGTTTGGAATGGAGTGCAGGTCTGAAAGGGAAGATTTATTTTTTTTCTTTCTCTCAACTTTGGAAAACAAAATAAAAGACTACAAGGCTGTAAGACGTCCAGTCTGCCACCAAATTGCTTTTTTTAAATGTCTCCAGCTTTACAAAAGTTGCACGTATTGCCATTAGACATCCCTTTCTCTGTTACCAACTTACACCTCTTCAAAGTTGAATGGAAAAATTAATGCTGAGCCTCCTTCCCCTCATAATCAAACATTACAACACTGAGAAATCCAAAGTGAAGATTACACACAATAGTCATTCCATAACAATACAATTATGATGAAATCATCTTAGCATCTTTGGTCTGAGATGAGATTAAATCTATTTTAATGAGACATTAGAAGGGCTTTTTTCTCCCATGTTTTTTTCCTCATGGCGCCATTACAATGCAGAGGAATTATTTTTTTTTCTTCAGTTGCCTCAGTTTGTGATTTTTTATTTGCAAGAAATCAATATTCTGTGCAGGGAAAATAAACTGAGAGTATTGCAAAACTTCTTTTTGTGTACCTAAACTACCGATACGGTCCCTCCATTTCAGCTTCATGCTGACAGTCTCTTTTCCCTGAGAATTTCTCCTTTTCAGGTTACTTCCCCAAAAAAACCTATTTCATATTTCCTGCATCAGCAAGGTTGCTGAAGAGTTTCTGAAGCTGCCAGGGAGCTCCATCTTGCTGAGCTGTGTTCACAGGAACTCTGAGTCACAGGAGGCAGCACAGGGTGGTTGAGAGCCCTGGCAGTGCTGGCTCTGACCCTGCTGCCTTGGAGGGCTGTGCAGGGTCTGGGAATGGCACTGAGAGTCTGGGAATGGCACTGCAGGGTTTGGGAATGGCACTGCAG